CCTTTAGTTGAATGTAGAAAATGTAACGATTTGAATTAATTTACTTGAAATTTGATATTTTTATTTAAATAGAATGAATATTTATTTCAGCCAAAAAATAATTTCAAGTAAATCTATTTACTTATTTTGAAACATTTTTTGTCAGTGTAGGTATTACTCTTTAAAGTGCAAAATTCTCTAAGCATATACATTTTAATTACAATTGCGCAGGGTTCTCTCATTTCTAAAAGGGGCTTGGAAAAACTGCCCGGAATGAATTACAATTGTTTCTACTCTCTCGTGGAATAAATCGAGATGCGTCCAAGTTTTCTTATAGAAAATTGCCCTCGTAAATCTTTACGAAAGCTGCGGTAATTTTTACGATTTATCGTAAAAACCGGAATAACGCGCGTATTCAAATGTCCCCATTTGGCCGGAACACCCAGTAGAGAATGTATCATGGGATGATCTATTCTTCGAAACAATTTAAGCGATCCGGCAGCCAAGCGTCGGTCTTGGAATCGCTCGAAGGTACAGCCGCGCCCAGAGAGCTATCGGCTCGCTCGTTTCAGATTAATCTCCATTCTGTGGTGATATCGTCCCGATTTTTCGCTAGTCACGATACCGCGCGTGATCTCTACGGTGTTTTCCATCGATACGCTCAGAATGCCAGCGGTGTATCGACGGTCATGCTCTGAAAACCGAAACGTGTACTTATGCAACGTAAAAGTTCTAACGCCGTGAAACCAATAAAGCAATATTTTGACAAGCGCGCCGAGTATCGCGTTACATCGCGTGTATTAGATAATAGAACACATCCGGTGTACGCCACTATTAATTTAACAGATTGTACTCATCGAAAACCTGTATACCGTACGTGCTCGAGATACCGGCGCTTTCGATTAAAACGTACATACAACACAGCCTGCATTATGGACGTGTCTGTTCGCCGTCGAGATTTTGTTCACCTCTTTATCACGTGGAGATCTAATTTGTCGGGCCTCCGCCTATAGAGACGGAGTCCCACATTTTCCATTTCGTCGCGTAGAAATCTCCCGCATTAATGATTATTAATTTCGTAACAGCACAGATAATACCGGGTTCGTTGAATTATTCAATACGCGTAGAATCGCTCCGAACTTGTCTACTTTTACTGCTGCCGCGGGTTCTCGCGTGATTCGATACGCCGTTTCACTCGTCATCGTCGACCGACATAAGGACACATTATCGCTGCTGCCCGACAGGATTACGAACGTGTCTGGGTGAGGCATCGCGTGTCTTTGAGAGCCCGCATCTTGCATGGCATTATCGTCATGCGTTACGTACGCCCGCGCAATCTGCTTCCTGTTGCGTCGCACGCTGTTTTCCACACGCGGTGTCATTGTCACCGACGGTGCCCCCGCAAAAATAGCAATATTCCGCCCGTAAACGGAGCCTGTGGCGAAAGGAAAAGTGATCGGGCTGACCTTCACATTGAATTTTTCAACGGGATGGCTTTTCTAAGCCGCGACACGCCAAGGTTGTTGCCCCAACGTCAACGTCGGAGCCTTCAACTTGAGATGAGTCGACGACAAGCGGGATAGAAACCAGTCGAAGAGCCGGAGAGACCAGCCGTCTTTAATTTCCATCTCGGGTGGGGAAGAGAGTAGCCTCTTCGAGCATATCTCGTTCATAAATAATCGTGGAGAAATGGTTCTCTCGGTGTTACAACTCCGTTTATTACGGCTCTTCGATCTTTCCGCGCACTCTCCATTTCTCAATCCGTGGATTTTACTCCCGATTTATTTCCGCAATTTCCTCCCAACTCGATCGTAACGCGCGAGATCCTTTCCGTCTTCCTGGAGACGCTTGAGAGCTTTCCTTCGTCCCCGGATAGCACAAACCTCTCCTATCGAAAAATTAACGGGTATAACTGCGAATATATCTGTCCGCTATGCAAATGTAGTAGACAAGTGGCGTATTTTGTGACTGGTAGCACGTCGCGTGTATCATTGCGTGGCGTGAAACTACCCGCGGTATCGCTGAATGTCAATAACGACTAGCAATCGGCATTCGTGGACCGCCACCGATGCAGCGTCTCTCCGTCTCGCGTTCCACGCGGCAGCTTGACATCACGCAGCTGCGTCTCTCGCTATGGATTCAACGATAAATTACACCCTACCTTGGATAAGGCTGGTCGTGTTTCTCTTCTCGGCGTATGTACGCGCGCGCACACTTGCACAGACGCGCACGCACGCATGGCGCAACTCGCTCTTTACGATTCTTTAATATCTGTCGCTAAACTTTCCCATGGAAGCTAAAGCGCGCCCGCTGCTAAGACCGCGCGGCGCAACGCATGCGATAGATTTCATTCCTTTACGACCTCCTTAGCGCACATTTTGTCACGAGCCACCCCACTTGTTCCTTATCACATTCCGTGCATGCAGTCATATATACATTCCCGCTCCTGGCGGAATGTCGACGGAAAGTTGTACCGATCTCCGTCAAGATATCGCGATACATCTCTTGTATTTTCATATAATGTGAGGCGAAACATTAAGTATCGCGGATGCCTCGACGCGTCAAGTTTCGTCGCACGCGGGAACACGCGTGTCGCACTAAATTCAAACCTGACGTGTAACACTTGTGATTCGCAAGAATCATTAAATGTTTTATGATAACAATAGTAAAATAATGTGAGAC